TGCTCAGCCTGGCCTTGTGACGCGGCAACTTCTCCACGGTGGCCATGGAGAGGACAGGACGCTCCCACAGATGCTGAAGGTCCTGAGCTGGCAGCAGCGGCTCAGGACAAGCAGGATGGCCTCGACTTGGGAGTCCGTGATCCCACAATAAATTAAGTCGAGGTCCTGGAGGCTGGCTGCAGCTTTCTCCAGCAGAACTCGGAGGGGCTCGGGACTAAAACCGGTCAGGGTGATGCCACTGAGATCCAGGTCCTTTAACTGACCGAGGTTTGGGCACTGGGACAGATGCTTCAGGTCCGATTCCATAAGCAGCAATTAGTTATGGAGAGGGTCTCCAAGGGGGTCTGCAGGCACCTGGGAGAGACGCAGAGCAGTTAGTTCTGGGAAATGGGTAGAAGGGGGCCTCGAGGTGGGAGAGGACCAGCTCACCCAAACCCAGGCCTATTCTGACCACCTGATAAGAGCCAGCACCCAGGACACCCAGTCTCATTTTATCTGAGTCCTTTCGCCTTCACTCGGTGACTGGGCCAAGTTCACGAAATTGCCAAAGGTCCCTTTCTTCACCTGCCAAGCAGAGCGCTCCACTTATGAGGATGAACGGACATAATGAAATGCACCGGAATATGCTTAGGCGAGCCTGACAGTGTCTCAATCGAGCGTGCACATCACTGAATTTTAATACTGGGAGGCAAAACCCAAAATGCTCTCAGCTCAGGCTTCCTTCTGTCCATTGCTTAGGCGCAGGCACCCAGGTCTCTGGGCCACATGAGGCTAGTTCTCCTGATGCGTAAAGAACAAAGCTGGACAAGACCCCGCAACGTGGACTGAGGTGGCCCGTCTGCCAGCTACTCACATGCCTGCATCATCTGCAAACCACCTCTCACTTTTTATAATCCTCTCGCTCCTGCTCCCTTATCTCCAGAATCCTGCGTTTCCCATACACTAATCACCTCACCTGGAGCACAAAACCACCTTTTACTGGGAAATTTGAGACAGGCTGGTGGGCGCAGAGCGTACCTTTAGAAGCGCTCGGGTCCGACGTGGCTTTCCCTCCTCGCTCGCCTCTTTTCCTGAGTCACCTTAACCAAGACAGCTCTCCCAAAGGAAGAATGCACAAACCCGCCCTCGCTAGGTCTGAACCCCCACTATGCTTCCTAGAATGGTGCCCCTTTTCAGGGCGTCAATCCCAGTTTGTCCGTCCACCTTCCATTGGGTGGTTACTGTGCAAACACACCTGAGGATGGAGCAGCAAACGAGACAACGCGCTTGGCATCCTCGCTCACCTGAGCATCTGGTCCAGCCGGCCTTCGAGGAGGGAGGGGGAATCCACGTGGAGCTTCCGGAGGTGGCGCAGCCTGAGCAACTGACAGGTGAATCGGGAGACTTGCTGTTCCTCCTGCTCGGAGGCCGACACGTGGATGTGGGAGAGAAAGTCTCTGCGCATTACTCATCTGACCCGGGTACGGAGCAAACGTCCCCAGCGTGGACAGGTTCCAGGTGCAATTCACTTCCACCTCCCGGACACAGTCCAGCGTCACCATACCCAGGACCTTCTGGATGTTCTCCGTGGGCACTGCAAAAATCTTCAGCGTCTTGCAGCACAGGTGGAGGAATCTGTGTCTCTCTTTCTCTCTGCGTGGCCCACCAGATGAGGTAGGTGACGAACCGATCCCGCGTCCTGTCGCTGAAGCAAAGGACTATGAACACCTCCAAGGGAGCCAGGGGCCGCCGCATTCTGCAGCCGTCCTCAGCCTCCGGCCCCATCCGTGAGTGCACCTGGGCCCTGGCTCCGGACCACATGCTCCAGAAGTTCTGACTGGTGTTGCGTAAATCTAACACTGCAGTTTCCACCTCCTGTGGGGAAAACAGGACATGGGCTGAAATGCTTTCAGATCAGCGGGAGAGATCAGCAGAAAGAAAGCGAGCTTCTCAGAGTTTAAGCAACGGCGGGACTTCCCCCTGCGAGCTTTCCTTCACGTCCCAACGTCGGCGGCTCCCTAGCCTTCTTCCTCCCTCTCCGCCTTGCTTTTCCCAAACTCCTTCCCCTTCCCCTTCCATCCTTCCTGGTCTCCACTTCTAGAGAGGAGGCGGGAGCCCCTGCCTCTTAAGCAGTCCTCCCCTTCCCCAAGTGAGCTCAGCAACGGCCAAGGCCTCTCTGGCACCCTCAGAAAGCTCTAGCCCCTCCTCCCCCTTTGGCCCTTCACACTCCCAGGATGCCCAGGCCCCAACAGGCGACCTGGGTCAGCCTCACCTGGGGCAAAACTTCCGGGCAAGCAGGACGTTGAGCATCGCTTGCAAGGTCTTGTGCAGAGGCATCTGCATCAGGCCCCCTAGAGGGAGGTGGGCCAAGGACCAGGCATGCACCAAGGCCTTCAGGGATGCTCTGTGCCGGCCCCAGAAGGCCTCCATGAACAGTGGCGGGAAGAACGCAGTGGGCAGACACTCCGGGGCCGCGACAGTCAAGGCGTCATCCCTCAGCAGGCTCTTTCCCGCCAGCTCCAGCAGTCTGGGTGGGGTTCGCATGCTCGTCCTAAGTCTGCTCCAAAGGGAATGCTGCGGAAACATCTGGGGGGCGAGACATCCTGAGGCCCAGCGTGAACACTGCCATCGTCTGATTCCCCGCCTTCGTAGGAGCCGACTCAAGGCCAAAGCCACTGCGCCGGGCCCAGGATCGGAATCGCAGAGGCGCCCACTGCTTTGACTGCAGTCCCACTGGGAAGTGAGTACCGAGGAGCCTGAAAGCTGACCCCACCCTTTTGGAGGGAAAACTTTCAGACCCTAAAACAGTGGAAACGTCATGCACCCCAACACAGCCTACACGCTCGATTCCCACAGTCATCCCGGCTGGGAGGGATTAAGATGATGCCCCTAAAATGCATGCCATTCATTTTAAATGGGAAATCGTAAAAAAAAAAAAATGCTGAGTAACAAACAGTATTGTAGAATTTGAGAGTTAGGGATTAAAAAAAAATGCTGAGACATACATTTCTATGCATTATTTGTTTACATCTTCTAGAATTACCACTTTGAGAAGGGGTTCAGGGGAACAAATAGCTCGTATTCAGTACAGACTCCGCTCTTTTAGAATATCGTATGGAATGTTCTTGAGCTTTTAGATAAAAATGAAAGCCAAACTAGCAAAATCACAAAACCACCAGATGCGTGAGCTATAATCTCACAGTGCTCAAACTGTTTAAAAGGTCAAGAAATAAAACCCCAAACATGTTTTTCACTTGGAAAAAAAAAAAAAGTCATCTCAGTTAAGATATTTAAAAATGACAAGCCAAAGCACACATTAAAATGTTTGGGCTTAAGGCAAAAAAGTACACCTAGAGGCAAAATCGAAGCCTTAAATTTGTTCATCTGAAAATAAAGAAAAAGGAAGACCGTCCACGCCATGTCAGGCTGCGTGTCACCGCGTGAGACCGGCTGCCTGAGGCAAGTGGGGGCGTCCTGAGCTGAGGTCTGTAACTCACCTGCTCTGTGCTGTTGGGCTGGTGCTGACACCTCACACCTCACACCTCACACCTCACACCTCACACCTCACACCTCACACCTCACACCTCACAGCTCACAGCTCACACCTCACACCTCACAGCTCACACCCCACACCCCACACCCCACACCTCACACCTCACACCCGGTTGAGAACCCAGGGAGTGGCTCCGCAGCTGGAGTATTCTGTCTCTCCTCCTTGGTGCCTGACGCCTTTATAGACCTTTCTAATCACATTTTCCCCTATTCAAGGACTAACCTCCAATCAGAAATCAATACCTGATTAGATTCCCACATCCATCTGATTAATCCTGCTGCAAACATCGCCTGTCCCCAGACGAATTGATTGAATCAGGCATCTATTCAGGAAAGAGGAAGAATTAGGAAGGGGCAAAGTTCAGGACTCGAACTGGTTCACTCTGCAGAAAGTGACTGAGTTTTGCTGGTCGTGGGACAGTCCTCATCCTCGGTGTGAGACAGTGAGGGTGTAATGGGTTCCTGACATTAGACAGAAGAAAACAAAACCCAAAAGCATCGTGGCTGGGGGACCTTCGGTCACATCAAAATTACCAGAATGTTCCAGAGTTAAAACAGCTTGGTGAACACAGTGGAGCCACCCCCAAAGAAAAGAAAAGAAACATCTCTATGCACCAAGTTGTCACTTAGGTTCTATGTCAGGTAACCCAGCAGATCATGAGCCCATTCGGGGCGTAAGGGATGTGCAGTTGAGGATGTCACTGGTCCTTCACACCACGCGGGTTCTCTGAGGAAGCTGAGGTCAGAACCACGGTGAGAAGTAGGGGTGAGGGCTGGGCAGAGTGGAGCTGGGCCATCCCAATGGGATCCCGTGAATGACCCAAGGCCATGGAAAATATGGATTTTTTTTTCTTGGTGAAGAGGGAGAGTGGCTGAGGTGAAGACAGTGTCACCAGGTGAAGATAGTGTCACTCTTGAGGACAGGGAGGGAGATTCTGTCTTCCATCACTCCCAGGAGGAAAAGGGTGTGTCCTCCGGGACAGATGGCATTCGCACAGCAAACCACAAACCGTCTGGAGAAGATTAAACCCAAGAAGCAGAGGGGGAGGCAGCCAGCCCTGGGAAGTCAGACGTTCCCCAACCCAAGAGCCACTGAGGCTGGACGTGGCGGGCTCTTTGGGATCTTGGGGAGAAATGAGCGTGGGCCAATCACACACAGACCGATCACACACAGCTGTCACGACGAGACGTCTGCCTTAGAGTCAGGCTTCTTCCATCGTGGGCACTTCCCAGACAGCGAGTAGCCCCAGCCATTCCCCAGGGGCCTTGGGAGCCTAACCGCACCTCCACTGGCTCCTTCCCAAGTCTGTTTTCACAATTAGTGTTTCCTCAAATTTTGGTAACAACTGAGGCAAAACGCAGCTTCAAAAAGCCTCTTCCTGCTCCTAAGCAACTTGGAGGCAGAGACTCTGATCACGGACATGCCATCAGGCAAAGAAACAAAATTCCGTTTTTCCATTTGTATTAAGCATGGTGCGCAAATATCGATACCTCTTGCCCACAAAACTCAGAGGCTATCTCTGATGTTTAAGGATCTGCCGCAGTTAGGGATGACGCCCCCCTGGGCTGGATCACAGGTGGATTCTTGGGAAGTTTAGGGACATAAAGGAGAGAAAAATCTCCCTCCACCCCTCAAATAAAAGAATTCTCTGTGCCTTTCTCTCCCTGATTCAAAGCGATGCTGAAACAATTCTTATATACCACTGGCCACCAAGGCTAGGCTTCTCTGAAGGATGTTCTCCACCTTGATATCTTTCTAGAAGATTCTTTTCACTCTATTTCTACCCTATATAAATGGCTTTTGCATGGGTTAATCGTCTTCATTAATGGACTGCAGTAGACTGACATTAGTACGATAAGCATAAATGTCTCTGTTTATTGAACACCCACTGGGCAAGCAATGTGCCATCACTTTTCATTTACTTCCTCAAATAACCTTCACAGAAAATCTAAAGCTCACTGCCGTAGTCTCCATTTTTAGGCTGGTGAACCCAGGTCTTGGCCTGGAGAGGAACCTGCCCCCGTTCTCATAGTGAGTAATTGTAGATTCCCTCAGGTGAGGGGCTGGGCAGGACCCCCGAGTTGTCAGACAACCTAAATCCTAGATTGACTGGCTGACAGACTTCATGTGAATGTCAGCGGAATTAGGAAAAGGACAGACATCCAAGCTAAGGATGTTTCTACAAGATCCCGACTTCTATGAGATCCAAGGAGATAGGAGGAGTCCAGGTCCTTGTAAGTTCTAGGAACCTTAAAAGCCCAATACTCCCTCTCCCACCTAGAGGCAACAGGACACTCCTCTGCCATCTCCACGCAGAGCCTGTTTGCTCAGGGGACACACTGGGGCATCCACGAAGGACGGAACACATGGACACGGATGCTATCCTTCCTGCCTGGCTGAGGGGGCCCAGCAGGACTCCCAGGGTCCAGTGAGAAGCCAGGACATTTCTACCATGTCCTGGTCACCTGTCGTCACGGACCTGTTTGCTGCCCAGGTCAGAGCAGCCCTCTGAGCCCACCCGTCACGAGGATGTCCTGACAGCCTTTTCCAGCCACAGAATCTCCACTAAGACTCCAAAACATCTGGTCCCAGGTCCTTGCTCAGAAGTATAGAATATTCCTGTGCGTCTGGTTCCCTCTCTCAGCCTGGGCTCTTTCTGTGTCAGCTCACGTCTTCTGGAACCTGGAGCGTGGGTATCCTTCCAATGGAATTAGCAGAAGTCAAGGAATTCTTCTCAAATCCTACTGAGGTTTTTGGGAGGATATGACTAACCACAAAGCATAGTGTTGCACTTCCGGGTCCCAAGAGGCACCCAAGAATGCTGGAGGGTGCCCCCTCCTGGGTTCCAGACAAGGACCTGACTCTTCTGGTCTTCCTGGGGGGTGCCAGGCTGATGAAAGGCCCTGGGGACCAGTGTCCAAGCATCAGCCCTCCCCTCTGTGGCTCTCTGAGGCCCACTGTTGAGCAGAGCTCTCCTGGGATCCAGTAAGGCTTTTTCCTCTATCAAGTCAGATCTGTCTGACCCCGAAATGCTTTGCCCTCAGCCTTTTTAAAAATCCAGTCCCTGCGATGGTTCTCATTGTCCCTCCAGTACTCAGCAGGGTCTGGTTTCACTTTAGATCCACTAATATCTTGCCTATGCACGGGGCTGTCCCTCCTTCTTCCTCACCAATAAAGATTTGATGACATCGCTCTGGGTCCAAGCCTGAGGGACAAGCTGGTAGAGGTGTGGGGACTGGAGAGAGGGGCGGGAAGGACATCTGCTGACTCACTACAGGCAGGGTGGGGCCAGAGGGACCAAGAGAAGGGAAAGGGACAAGGACAGGGAACGGCCAGAGGAGCTGGTGGGCGGCCCAGATGAGTGGGGGGGAGGGAAATGGTAACCGAGCGGGAGGCCGGGTCCCCGGGCTCTCAGAGCTGTCCCTTCAAGGCGGAGACTTGTGTCTGAGACCACTAGGGACGCTGTCGATCGGAATCTGGGGGCTGCGAGTTCCCAAAGGACTGGCTCTGTTTACCGTGGTCTGCGTGAGGCTCCCCAAACCTCTACCCCCACCCCCAAGGGCACAGAGTGAAGCCAGTGGAGAGTCCAGGGAGAGAGAGAGTGGTGAGCGTCGTTTCAGATGCGAAGACAAGAAACAGGTGAGGGGGGAAGGGGCGGGCCCAGCCTTAGCCTGGGGGCCTGGGAAAGGGGCGCTCCTGAAAAGTTTGCAGCTCAGACTCCTCGTTCACCGTGGCCTCTTCAGACTGAACATTGTGCTTTTTAGGAGGAAATGAGAAAGAAGGAGATCTGGCGCTGTGTCGTGTCATTCAAGTGACCCCAAATCTCCCACCGCAAGTCATAGGAAGGTCATGGTGAATGACAGTGAAAGCGGAGTGCATCGGGTTGCCTGGCACTTTCCAGCAGAACAAAGGAGGAAAGCAGGGACCCCCGGGGGGCCTCTCATGTCCAGGGCTGGGGACCGGCAGGAGCCTGTGGCGGGGAGACCCTGTGGACACGTCCACTGAGAAGTCTCTGGCACAGGTGGCACCCCACAACACCCGGCACCCGACACTGCCCCCTCACTGCTCTCTCCTTGATTTATTCGAAAGTGTTTACTTATTCTTACAACTGAAAATGTTTACCCTTTGACCTATATCGCCCCATTTCCCCTGCCCCCCAGCCCCTGGCAACCACCATGTGTTCCATTTCTATCAAATAAGCTTTTTAAAAAGGATCCCATATATAAGTGATACCACGTACTATTCGTCTTTCTCTGTCTGGCTTACTTCACTTAGCATAACGCCCTCCGGGTTCATCGCTGTTGTTGCAGATGGCAGGATTTCGTGCTTTTTTCTGGCTGAATAATATTCCACTATGTATACATACCACATTTCCCTTTTCCGTTCCTCCATCAAAAAACAGTCAGGTTGCTTGCAGATCTTGGCTGCAGTGAACGTGTGTGTGCAGATGTCTCTTCTGTACAGCGTGGTGACTGCAGTTAATAATACAGTGTCGCATATCTGAAAGTGTCTAAGAGTAAGATTTTAAGCATTCTCACCACACACACGTAAGAATTAGGATGCATGTGTTAATTATCTTGATCTTGGTAATCAATCCACAATGTATGTGCATATCAAATCATCACTTTGTACACTTTAATATATACATCTCTTTCAATTATTCTTCCATTTAAAAAGTATTGACAGAGTGTCTAGGTTGTGCCAACTGCTATTCTGGGTGATGGGGAAATATCCAATAAATGACACAGTCCCACTCAGGTTATCTCATACACAGGTCTTACGTTCTATTGAGACAGACAAAAAACACATAAGGTAAAAAATAAATGAAATAGACCTGTACCTAGCCCCCAACAGTTCAGGATGGTTAAACACCTGTGTGAAGTGAACTACAATGCAATCCTAATAATCAATGGGAAAAATCATGATCATCCCACAACCTTGAAAATTTTTAAGAACTCTCTTACTGTGCTTATAAAATAGATAGAGAAATGAAAAAGGTTACCGAGAAGAGTTTAAACAGTGATTGCTTTCTTCACACGGCATAACCGACCACAGAGAGCGAGCGCCTTTTCTCTGTTTGGGTGAATCGTCATATTCCATTCTAAGTTTGGATCAGCTTCCCGTGTTCTACCCTGTGTGCTTTCAATGTCATAAACATCTCTGAGGCTTCCGTTAATGGGAAGTTCTTGCCAGAGTCACCTCCTCTGGGACATCTCCATCCTTTTATTTTATTTTATTTTATTTTTGTCCCTTTATGCATCTCTGGAAGATGGGAAAGGTGAACCTGAGACAACAGAGGCCCTAGAGAAAGGGTGGCCCTGGACAAGTCCAAGGTCACGCAGCAGGCAAAGGGAGGGAGCAAGTCCCACAGGATCATCTCAACCCCTGAAACTCCAGCCCCCGTTCCTGTTAGAGTCTCTGAGCATCTAGTGTCATATTTTGATGCCACAACTCTTTCCAGAAGTCCCCTCACTCCGGGTCACTGCTGATGAGAGAGATGCTCCTGTGGGAAGCAGAAGACTCAGAGCCCAGGTCCCAGGATGTCCATTGATAATTGACCCAGACACAAGCCCAGCATCCTCTCCTGCAGAGACCGCACGCTGGTCTGACGGGAGGCCCTGGAGATGAGCTTGGGCCCATCCCGAAACCAGTTACTCTCTGGTTCCAGCTCCATTTCCGTAACCCAGGGGGCAGGCAAGATCCCAGCTGGGATTTGATTAGCTCTTCCTCTCTCAAAGGGACACTCTTGGTCTCTTCTTCAGCTTTTGCTCTTCCAAGGCCTTGTCCGAATCCAAAGTGTCCTGTCCTTGCTGGCCTACCTTCCTCCAGGCCTCCCCGCTATGGTGCTGTCCAGACGAGCTCACATCTCCAGCCACCAGAGGGCACTGTGGGCCCAAAATTGGCTGCCGTGTAGGGTCCCGTGAAAGAAAGAGAGAGACTGCATGGCCTCCAACTAGGAAGAAGCACCAAGAGAAGAGGCTGGGGAGGTGGGATGTAATCACCTGGCGGGGGGCTTGCTGGAGGACCATTGGGAGTTAGTGACGTCACCTGATGTGCGTCATCCATCCAGTTGCTATTGGATCGTGTTCCCTGGGAGAGTTAATGAGGAAGCAGGGACATCAGCTGGGGGACCCTTCACTGCTCCCAGTGGGGGATCCTGGCTTGTACCTGAGTGGCCTTGGGGACAGCTTTGGGGACGGCCTGAAGGCAAA